TGTGAAGAGGACATGAGGAGGCTGCATTTCTAATTTTTCTTTGCTCGGTTCAAACTTGACTCCCCAGCACTGCCTGTCCTTTTCAAACAAGAGCTTAAGAGCCAGGAGGCTGAAGAGGGCAGCAGGGCCTTCCTGCGCTGTGAGCTCTCTAAACCTGGAGCCCAGGTGGAGTGGAGGAAGGGAGGAGTGGTGCTGCAGCCCAGTCACAAGTATGAGATGAGGCAGGAGGGAGCTGCTGTAGAGCTGGTAGTTCATGACCTGAAGCTGGATGACATGGGAGACTACATCTGTGACACTGGTGACAAGACAAGCACAGCATCTCTGAAAGTCAATGGTAGGAAGGAGCCTGTAGTAATCTGTGTTTCTTACATCTCCATTATTATGTCTTCCAGTCCCTTCATCATGTAGAATATACTCTTTTTTGTTCTTACAATCATTTTCAGAGATTTTTGTCTGAAATTGTTCAGAGGTAAAGGTTACCCATTATCAGTTATCACTTATTTTCTTCCTTATGAAGTTATCCTTCATAAATATCAGACACTATACATTTACTCTATATGTCTTCTGTGAGAATGAGACTTTCCTGGTCATAACTTCAAATCTTTCATTCACATTTGTATCTGTATTAAAAAGTCACAGTGACTGTTTTGTGTTCTTGTGTTCTTTATTTTGTGAAAAGGAGCTTGAATCTAACTGCAGATTGATCTTCTACCATGTCATTGAAAATATCATTTATTTTCTGTGTCAAAGAGCCTGTGAATTATATTTACTTTAACATAGCATCCTATGTTAGTCCAAGTATTAATTATTGCTCATCTTTGATCTAAATCATTTCAGAAACAACTTAATTCAGTTTTTATTTCATCGTATGTGCCTTTTCTTATGTAAGTGGGATTAAAGAACAAGTTATCTACAGTAGTTATGTAGTTGAATCCAATACCCTGGCTTCTTTCAAGAAGTTGCTTAATGAGCTTTTAAGATTAATCAACTATTAACTTCCAAATTGGCCAAATCACACCTGTAAACATTCCTTTGTTCTTATGGGTGTTCATGATACATTAATGTGCAGCTCAAACTTTTAGTAAGTGCTCTTTTTGCTGGCATTTTGGTTTGTTTTCTTTCTTTAACAATATCATAGCAATGTTGTGAAACTCATTGAGGGTGTGTGGGATACATCTTTGTGTACAGCCTTTGCTGAAACATAGATGTTGTAACTAATGTTGTATCAGTAATTAGACACTATCATGGTTAGTAATGGGAGACATATTTATTAGTGGTCCGGTATGAACTTAGAATGGTGATAGTCACTGGCAGATGCAAAGTGTATTGACAATATTGAATTAATTACATGGCCATTTCACTTGGGCAATTAGTTTTAGTTTGGAACTGAATACATCCATGATGTAGGCTTGGCTCAGCATAGTGACATGGCAGTTAATACTATTCATCATAGCTTCTGACTTGTTCTTTATATGAAGAACTATTGCTATTCTGCCTGTGTTCACATGGGTTTCCTCTGATTGATCTGGCTTTCACCCACCTTCCAAAAGACCCAATGGCTATTAATTTTGTGTGTGTGTGTGTGTGTGCCATGGTTAACTGGCATCCCTGCCACTCCTACATAATATGTTTTGCTGGGTTTTTCTTTTTTCCCATAAACTCCAGATGTGTTTTCATTTTTTGTATAAACCTAACATTAACCTTTTTACAGTAGACCCTTCTTTCACTGATCTAGTTTCTTTCAGTCATTTTCCTGCATAGCAATTTCCTAAAGGTTTTGTGTGTTTCTTTTTCTCGTTTTATAAACTTCTCTCTTGCCACCAAACTGTTTATTAATTAAATACAACCCATGTTCTGCAGCTCTCCTGCAGTGGAGGTCAAGAGATCACCTGCTCCTTGTGGACAATGATTATTTTAATTCTGTTTCATTACAAAGTCATTACATACACCTTTAGTTAGGATGCAGTGTCACATATGTCCATCAATTACAGTATAACCCTGTATTTGTTTTGGGTGACATTTTTTTTTACTATGGTTCAGTCCTTCTCTTACTGCATCTTTACACTGAGTCAGTCCTTTTCCGTGGATAAATTTTGGCTAATCGATAATAAATGCCCTCCGACATAAAAAGTGGGAAATCTTGAACTAGAGCTATCAATCCAATACCCGTGTGTCTCTACTGATACACTGCCGTGAAACACTTTTCCTAGATCCACTGAAATGTATCATAAAGTACCTTTATGTTCCAAATGCGCAATGACCTTATTGTCCAGAGGGTGGACTTTATTTAATGCACTTTTCGGAAGAGGTCTGAGACGTCACACAGGAACCATTCAACAGTTTGAAAGAATGGCACAAGACTTTTCCTTTAGAATGGAAGCTCAGAAGAAAAATGATTATAGTGTTCAGAAGGTATTTTGAAACAGATGGCGTTAGGGTACTGTTGTAACAGACAAATAAGTTCTGGAGCCTCAGATGACGTTTAAACAACTGAGTTTATTGCATGCAAGGAACAATAAGACCAATGTACTGTTTGGAATATAGGTACAAAACTTCCAGTTTATATAGCAAATTTCAGCCGCTTCTAACATAAATTGTTACCATGGTAATGGGGGGGGGGGCACCTGTGTTTGGACATTCTCAAGACTTTGAACACTTTTAATGGTCGGTTTTATCTTTCCTTATTTATGGGGTCCTAGCTTGCACTTGGAATTTCTTATCAATTAACTCCCTTTCCTGCCATAACTCAAAGGTGCCTAAGCATGGAATGTCTTGTGACAAGACATCTTTGTGCAGAAAGAAATCAGTTAACCCCTTTTTCACATCTTATATCTTTCTTCATTACCAACTGATTTGTTAAGGGCCATTTATGACTTCAACGAAGCCTCTGTGCCACATCGTTTTTAAAGACCAATGAATAATTTTGTAATTGAAGAATTAATCATTTGGTTTGTTTTTTTACTGACAGCACTGCCAGTCATTTTCAAACAAGACCTGCAGGACCAGAAGGCTGAGGAAGGGGGCACTGCCACCCTGCAGTGCAAGCTCTCCAAACCAGGTGCCACAGTGGAGTGGAGAAAAGGAGGAGTGGAGCTTTGCCCTTGTGCCAAGTATGAGATGAGACAAGATGGCTGCAGTGTTTGCTTACTGATTCACAATGTAGAGCCAGAGGATGCTGGAGACTACACCTGTGACACTGGGGATCGACAGACCACCGCTTGTCTGTCAGTGAAGGGTAGGCAAGGACAGTACTGTATACATACTGTATGCTTTAATCTGATAGAAAGATTTGCCACACATTTTTTACTCAGAGAATAAGTCTTTTCTATCAAACCACCTTATTCTGTGATATATGTATTCTTGCATTTTCATTGGAGGTCCCGATACAAAATGTTTTCCTGTGTATGTTAAAAAGCTTTTGGATCTTCTACTCATGTACGCATGTATATTTCAATTTTGTGCTACTTACAGTGAAGACATTTGCTCTTTATACAAATGTCATAGGTAACTGGTTAACAAATTCTTGAATATCTGATATTCATAAATTACATTTGCTACATAGAGGAACTGTTTTTATTGCCAACATATTCAAAGTTTTAATTGATTTTTTTTAAAGTAAGCTCATCAAAAAACAGAGCAGTGGTTCTGGTTTAACTGCTTGCAGTTGGTTGGGTTGTTTTGCTTTGAATCAACTGCTGCCTCCTAACCCGCAGTCTCTCCAACCATCCCCGTGTCCTCTTCCCTGTAGCCCTGCCCGTATATTTCAGGACCTTGCTGGAGAGCCAGCTGGGAGAGACAGGAGGAATGGCCACCTTGAGCTGTGAGCTCACCAAGGCTGGAGCCCATGTGGACTGGAAGAAGGGCGGGAAAGTTGTAGAACCCAATGACAAGTATGAGATTAGGCAGGAAGGTACTGTAGCAGAGCTTGTCATTTACAACCTGAAGCCATCAGATGCCGGAGAATACACCTGTGACACGGGCGACCAGAAGTCTTCTGCCACACTCACTGTCCAGGGTAAGCAGGACTGTGTGGGTGCACACAACTGACAGAGTGCTTTTAATCAGCACTGGCACTTCCATAACTCATTGCCATTCTTGTCTTTCACTCTAACTCTTTTCATGAACTTTCACTGTCTGCCTTTTTGACCTTTCATCAGACCTAACTTCCTCTTTGCAGTGTTAACGTCTTATGAATATTTATCTTTTCTGGTTATAGTTTCCTAAAGCATTATGTCATAATGCTTGATACATATAGCTACAATAGCACTCAGGTTTTTGTACACTGCTAAATGTATTCATATTCAGATTCAACCTAACTTAATGGTCTTAGATAATATTTGTTTAAAAGAGGAAACATGCAGTCTTAATTTTTATGATGGTTTCCTACTGGAAGATCTAATGGTCAGGGATCAATTTACTTTTTTAAAGCACACCAGATTAAACCTCTTAATCCACACATTATGGGTGGGATGATTGACATTTCAAATTCTACTCAGGTCAGAAAATGGAGAGAAATCCTCCTGCTCAAGAGGATCCTTTGGTGTACTGCAGTATTTGACTTATGTTAGGACACTACCTTTTTGTTGCTGCTCTTTGGATTGAAAATGGAAAGCATGAGCACTGCAGTACTATACACCAAGCATTTGTAATACGCATAGAAAATAAATTGCATTTTAAAAATAGTTTTATCATGACATGAAGTGATTATTGTTAAGGAAATAGTAAGGAATGGATCCTATGCAGATCCATGTAACTCCAAATTGGGAAAACAGAGTTAAACAGGGGGTATCCAAATACAAAGGCCAAACAAGCAGTAGGTCAATAGCCAAAAAGGCTTTAAAGCAATAATAGGCCAAAAGAGAAGCAAAGGATGTCTCAATGAAAACCTAATACTACGCAGGGAAAGGACAGAGAGCTGGGCTGAAGTAGGCTGGGAAGAGGAGACGTGGTGGTGAAGGGGTGCTGGGATTGGTTGACGAGGTCTAGGTACAGTAGTTTGAATCTTCCCTGAGTAACTGAGGTAGTTGCCTGTTTGGAGCCCCCTGGTGGTTGGATGATGGTACCGTAAAAATTATATTCAGAAAGTATCCTGTTGGAAGATTGAACAGTCACATTAGTAAAAGTCATGTGAGTTATGGATATTAAAAGTGCCTAAATTGCTGTATAAATATCTTAATCCAGAATGCATAGCATTTCATTATTAATTCAACCTCTTTTTTTTCTTGCGTTTTCACATAAGTTCACATAAGTTCACATAAGTGTGCAGTCATAGACTGTCTCACAGAAATGGATTGTAGTTGTGTCCTGATATATCTGGACATAGCTCAGAGAGGTAACTGCTATGTGCATTTCCTTTGATGACAGAACTGGACGTCACCATAGTGAAGGGGATAGAGAGCCTCACGGTGAAGGAGGACGAGGATGCAGTGTTCCAGTGTCAGGTCTCCCATGACAACGCACCCCAGGTGCAATGGAAACTGCAGGATATCCCACTCCAGAGCAATGAGATGAATGACATCACCGGGGAGGGGAAGGTGCACACCCTGACTCTCAGGAAAGTGACTCAGGAGGATTCGGGTACTGTGGTCTTCAGCGTTGGACCTCACACATCTTCTGCTGAGCTCACAGTCAGAGGTACAGTAGGGTATCGATCTGATGCTGTTCTGATCCCCTCTGCACCGCTGTGCATGCATTTTGTTTTTATCATTGAACCCATAGGACTCAACATACTATTTTTGATTCCTTGGAATAGAGGCTAGTTAGATTGATGAGTGCATCTTTGACAGACTGCAAGCAAAACTACACCAAGATCAGCAACATTAACCATGAAAGTTCATTCTGAAACAACTTAAAGGGATAGGGCATCATATTATAAATCCTTATATTTTGCTAGATAGCACCATTGCATCTTAGGAGAACCACAGTTTAAAACCTTCAGATGCATTATGATCTTCTTTGTACACCTTGCTTACAATCTGGTGTGTTAATTCTCCAGCTTCCAATGTGCTGTTCACACGCTGGCTGCAGAACCAGGAGGCTATGGAGGGGGACTCTGCCACCTTACGCTGTCAGCTCTCGCAGCCTGGGGCCTCTGTAGAGTGGAGGAAGGAGGCAGTTGTGCTGCAACCAAGCACAAAGTACGAGATGAGGGTCGATGGGACTGAGGCCCTGCTTGTCATCAAAGATCTCAAACTGGAGGATAGTGCAGACTACACCTGTGACACAGGAGACCAGCAAAGCACAGCATCTGTTTCTGTTAAAGGTAAGTTGACGAGTTTGACTCTCCATTTTTTTTCGCACCACTGTTGCATTGTGCCAGAGAAAGAGTGCATATTGTGTTAAATCTGGAAGGATGTTAGAGTGCCCTCTGCAGGGAAGAGTAGATACAAGGTGCAAGATAATACCAAGAACAAAACGATAACAAGATAAAAGCCCCAGAATCCTGACCTTGGTAGAAGGTCTGACCCTTCTGCAAAATGAATGATATTCTTGCCGGCAATACCAGGAACCTTTCATATACCACCACTCTTGGAAACTTGCAGTCTGTAACATGGTAAACCAGTGTCACATACATACATCCTTGTATTTAGATATTTATTTATTAATTTACTGACTGGTTGATTTGTGACTTCTACTTTAGTTATTGGTGCAACTAAAGTGATTATGATAGAAAATATGTTATACTGTAAACTGAAAGACAAGTGGAGACAAGATGGAGGTTTTTGTCAGAAACACACAGTCTGCCGAGGAATAGACTGCCATCCTCAGTCATCTGACCGATTTAAAGGCTAGAAAGCAGAAGCTTTCAGTGCTTTGTATCTGCTATACAGAGACAGAGGACCGTAGGGTCTGGGAGAGAGAAACAGAGAACAACTAGAGCATGAGTTTTGGAAAGGGATTCAGAAGACACATTTTGTTTAATATCAGCTAGGAGCTTAACTGCCTCTTATGACAGAAAGGAATTTGAGTAAGAGTCTAGTTAGAGTTTGAAAGGACTGCTAAGGTTTTTTGTTTTCATCTTCCCACTCAGTGTGTACAGTAAATAAAGGAGAACTGTTTTACCTCATGATGTGCCTGTTTACCAAGACCCAACTTTTCAAATATCCTGTAATGGCAGTCCGACCCCTAGTTTGGACAAATCACGTCTAAGCTTAGGTCCTGTTATTGTGGTTTTATTCAGTTGAGCAGTTTGAAATATTTTTGAGTTGTGTGGAGTTTGCTGTTTCGGTTTGTAGACATGTGTACGTTGATGTGACTTTCTGTGTTTTCTGGTTGGTTACGAGGGAGAAAGTGACTAGGAAAAGTTGAAGTTTAGGCAGAGAGTGAGCAAGAATGTGGCAGGTGTAAATGTGGCTATTCAGTAATAAACTGTACAAAAAATATTTGTCTCCATCCAGCTCCCATCAATACAGGCAGAGTATTTAACCACCATTGCACAAACCCTACAGTTATACAAGTCTGAAATGAAAGAACTTGCTAAAACTGACTAAATGATTTTCCTCAAGTATTAATTCCAGTAAAACAATTTTGCCAAAGATTGTGTCAAGCTACGTGTATCCTGTTTCCCCAGAGCCTGAAGTCAGGGTGGTGAAGGAGCTGAGGAGCGTGTCGGTATTTGCTAATGAGGATGCCATGTTCTCCGTGGAGCTGTCTCGGCCCTGTCTGAAGGATGTTCAGTGGAAGCTGGGAGACGTTCCCCTGCAGCACAATGAAATGAATGAGATTGGGATGGCGCGGAATGGCCTTGTCCACACTCTCACCCTGCGGAAGGTGACGCTGGATGATTCAAGCCCTGTGACCTTCACAGCTAGGGGCTGCACTTCCACAGCTGAACTTAATGTCTCAGGTCAGCAGTGCTACTACATCCCTGCTACTGTATATTGTCATCTTTCCAGGCTATAGACTGAGATGTTAACCTCACCATAAACTGAAAATAACAAGTGGAAGATAGTTGTCTCTGTGGTTATATGTGCACTGCTTGTTACCTGTATTGATCTTCAACTTATTGAACCAGTAGCCTTTATTTCGTTTCCTGCATGATTGTGCGTCTGTTACTGTCTACCTTAACTACAGATAACCATTCAGTAATAATTGTTGGAAAACTGATTTTCTGTAACGTCCCACTCAAAATAAATATTTTAGTTAATATAAAAAATAAGCTTATTGGATGTTACATTAGATTTAATTATAAAAAACTGTTCCTGTAAACAAGTGTATAAGTAGAATCAGAAAATATTTTTTTCTTTAAAGTAATTATCATTTACACTACAAAACTTTTACTGTTGATACAGTTAGGGATCTTTATGAGTAGGTGGCCAAATTCCATGTGATACATAATCAGTAGTCCTGTTTCTTATACAATACCCACTGTGGAAGCCAAGCCAATGGGCATATTGTATGTGGTCACCATCTGGTTCTCTCCCTAAAGCTGCCCCGCCTGTGGTGTTTAAGAAAAAGCTGGAGAGTCAGGAACTAAAGGAAGGGGACAACGCTTTCTTGCGCTGCGAGATCTCGCACCCTAATGTACCTGTCACCTGGAAGAGGGGCGGAGAGACACTGTCTCAGAGTGACAAGTACACCTTGCAGCAGAGGGGGACCATGCTGGTGTTGATCATCCATAATCTGAAGCCTGAGGACGCTGGTGAATACATCTGTGACACGGGGGATCAGCAGTCTACAGCCACTCTCACTGTCAAAGGTACAGTCCACTGCAGCGAGAAGTGGGTTTAAAAGAAACATATCCTCCCAGCTTCTATCTAGATCCTTTAGGATTTACAGATTTAATCAAGTAGAGCAGTGAGTCTTAGGCACAGTTCCCGTAGAGTAATCCTGCAGATTTTATACACTGCTCTTAATACTGTACCTTCCAGACCCTGAGTACCAGAGTTCTCTTGCTCCATCAATAATGTACAGGTGTTAGACATTTTTAAAGATTGGTAATACTCAGTAAGACTGAATTGGGTCAGGGCAGAGATCTGTGATGTAGATACATTGAGCATTGTGAGATTTTGGACAGTCACTGGAACTTTTGAAGCATTCAACATGAAGCATTGCATGTCAAAGATGTGCTTACTATCCAGTCAAAACTAAATTAAAGTGAAAGAACAGCAGTATAGTTAATCAATTTACTTTAATGATTTAGCATAAGATTTGTTTTGCCTTATTATCATCTAATATTTTTAAATAAGGCAAAAGAGTTGTCTGAACAGAGATCACTAAAGAAAATGAAAATACTTGCAAGTGGTTTTAATGAGAAAAACACAAATAAGCCACTGTTTCTATATGTGTACCCAGGGCTGTGTATTACATGCTGTATTGTGGTTGTGCATGTTGAGTGGAAGCTGCTGAAAGGCCACTGCTTATTGCTCAGCTGGAACGTGTACTTTCCAATGCGATTCTTTGCATTTGTGCTTACCTTTCTATGTGCCTAAGCAGTTGCTTCTTTAATAAGTTAGCTGTTGCTTTACTGCTGTCCTGACCTTTCCTTTTCAGAGCATGTGCGGATCACTGAGGGTCTGCAGGATGTCAGTGTGTATGCAGGGGGTGATGCTTGCTTTGTGTGTGAGGTATCCCATGAGGGGGTGACTGAGGGGCAGTGGAGGCTGGAGTCGGCTGTCCTGCAGAGCAATGACATGAACAAGATCAGCGTCAGCGGCAGGGTGCACACCCTAGTGCTGAAGGAAGTCACTCTGGATGAGATGGGCATGGTGACATTTGCCGTAGGGGAGGAGAGATCCACTGCCAGGGTGGTGGTGCAGGAGAAACCCAAAGGTAGAACCTTCCACTGTGAGAACTGCTGCCTGCCTGCAGAATTTTCCTTCAGAAAAACTCATTGCCATCCTCCAACCACTGTGTCCATTTCTTCATGAGGACAGAGCTGCCATGTACCTGCTTGTCCATGCATGCCTGGCATTGCCCTGAGCTGCACGGTTGGCGTGAGTCATGATATGCCATACAGTAGCTGTATTCCAGTGTCCTTTTTCTTCTAGCTCAGTTCCATCCTTTTATCTGTAAATCTCTGTTAGACAGGCTGTTTTCTTAAGGATTAAGAATTACCAATGGATTCCCTTCCAAGCCTGAACTAATAAGTAGCTGTCACAAAATACCATCCTGTCCATTTTCTAACCCCTTCATCTGACACAAGGTCATGGGGGAGCCAAATATTATCCCAGCAAGCAATGACCACAAGACAGAATGCACCCTGGATAGTATCTGGTCAGTGAATCTGAGCAGATACACAGACATACACATACTCAAACCTAGACCAATTTTCCTATCACTATGTTGGGATTTTTTGGAGGAAACCAGCGCACCTAGAGAAAATCCATGCAAACATGTGGAGAACATACAGTAGAATCTAGCATCCCAGGTCTGGAATTGAACCCAGAGCACTGTGAGCATACTGTAGCAATGCTAACCTCTGAATGAGCCACAATGCCACTGTGAAGCAAAATATAATTTATTCAAATTGTAACAAAGCTGATGTCAAATTCCAGTTATTATTTAGTGTAAAAGACATTTTTTGGGGTAGACAATGTGTTGGAAGGAAGGAAAATCAATGTTCTTATGAGAAAGGCACACAATTGTCATGTTTTGCTTCTGCACTGCAGCAGTTGAGACATGTATGCAATTCAGAAGGCAGGTATAATTCGAGTGTCAATTTTTTACACATCGCAAATTATGCACATACTGTAGCATCCAGGAAAATACAACAAAGGATTCTGGGACTGAATCTGGCCTCAGGTTCTTCTGTGGAGATCGCATGTTCTCTGTGTCTTTCTGTGAGTTTTCTCCAGGTGCTCCTGTTTCTCTCCCCCAAGGTCAGAATGTTAGATTTGCTTGGTGTCTCTAAATGGTCTCTTCCCCTGTGACGCTGTGAGAGCTGTTGAGTGTTGCACAGCTGTTGCACAGTGCATTATAGACCCTCACCAGAATAATATATAAAATATATATGTACTGTAAATAAAATAATACAAGGTATGCAAATAGTATGTTACATTGGTGCACAGCATCACTGAGATGACATTTGAAAATACAAAAGTTGTGTTATTGTTTGCCTCTATTCAGCTGTGATCAGGGAGAAGCTTCAGGACACTTCTACCTGTGAGGGGGAGACCGCTGTCTTGACCTGCATGACCTCAGAGCCAGGTTGTTCAGTCACTTGGAGGAAAGACAACAGGATCATCAGGCCCAGCGACAAGTATGAGATCAGACAGGAGGGTCTGCTCAACCGTCTCCTTATCCACAGTGTGGAAGCAACGGATGCTGGGAAATACGCGTGTGAAATTGGGGATGACCAGAGCAGTGCTACATTGACAGTAGAAGGTAAAGAGGCCTGGGAAAACATTTTGCTTGGATTGGAATGGTCTCTTATCTGATCCTATGACAGTCAGAAGAAAAGATAATACAAATTCCTGACATTTATATAGAGCTTTTCTGGACACTTCACTCAAAGAGCTTTACAATTAATGGGGACTCCCCTCCACCAGCAATGTGCAGCCCCTACCTGGATGATACGATGGCAGCCAAAGTGCCCAAGTATGCACACCAGACATCACCTACCAGTTCATATATATGGATTATTAAGAGGCCATGATGTGTAAAGGCCAATGGGAAATTTGACCAGGACACCAGGGTAACACCCCTACTCTTTTCGAGAAATTAGGACCCACTGAGCACCCCCTACTGGCCCCACTAACACCTCTTAGGTCTACCATCCAGGTACTGACCAGGCTCACACCTGCTTAGCTTCAGTGGGTTGCCAGTTGCCACTTGTGAGTTGCAGAGTTTGTTGTAGTGTTTCTTATTATTTTTGAAACACTCCTTTAAGGGAGTCCATCTGTGATTGAGAGGGCATCCCAATAGCTCATTTAAAGACTTTACACAGGATTTGGGGGAAAAAAGTAGTTCACTGAAAGAGGCTGCAGATACATATTAAAAAATTAAAGACATATTCAGTGACTAAAGAAGGTTTTTGGCAGATCTAATGGTTGTCTTTGTTTAGTTTAACTCTAATGCCTTTGTTTCTGTCCTTTGCAGAATTGCCTGCATTTTTCAAACAGGAGCTGCAGAACCAGGAAGCTGAAGAGGGGGACAGTTCCACCCTGCGCTGTGAGCTCTCTAAACCTGGAGCCCCGGTGGAGTGGAGGAAAGGAGGAGTGGTGCTGCAGCCCAGTGACAAGTATGAGATGAGGCAAGAAGGCACTGTTTTAGAGTTAGTGATTCATGACCTGGAACCTGAAGACAATGGCTACTATACATGTGACACAGGAGACCAGCTGACAACTGCTTCTGTCACAGTTCAAGGTAATTCTACATTTTAATCAATCTGGATTTCACAGTATGATGATGATCGTGTAAATCTATGGTCAATCCATTTTAAATCAAAGATGTGCGTCTCTACTTCTGGTCAGACGTGTCAGAGCAGCGATTGTGACTTTATCTTATATGAGGTTGAGTACACTGACTGGATCACTCACTTTATCAGTTCAACTACAGTTGGTATTTGTCTGCCACATAAAAAAACGTAGAAAAAACTGTGTTTATACAAATTTATAATAATAGGGTAATAGGGTTGCTGAAACTATTGTTTGAATATATTTTTCAAAAGCCTATGAATTCCCAAGATCCGGAACAAAATCCTGTTAAATATGTGAAGATTGTAAAGGCCTGAAGGAAGCTGTCAGGGAAAAGATAACACTGCTATATTTGATTTTCCACAAATTCTGAGGAATTGTAAAAATGGAAGTTTTCTGATGTTCTCTCATCGGTTTGGAAAGTTTTGTCTGAAGGGAAGAGGGTTACAGTGTTACAGTGCTGTTTAGACCCGCATCATGTGTGATTTCAAGGCCACTTGTCTTCTACTGCTTAATTAACAGTAATACTTCAAAGTTGTACAATAATTAGTATCAGTGCTTAAAACCAAGGGGAAGGCTGATCTGGTTAGGATCTGCTGAACTAACAATGAAGAATCTAGCTTTGATATTCAGTTTTGCACTTTGATCTAAAAAAATGCACATCTGAAGCTACAGATAAAATGTCTTCACAGGGTTATTGTATTGTGTGCCTGATCTTATTTTCTCGTCAGTGAATATCAGTGCACAAAACGTTTCAAGCTTTGTGTTTTTGCTAATGACGAAAATATCTGGAAATGTACCCAGAGCACATCCCTCTAAGCAGAGCTGACATTTATGAACAAGAAGGTTAATAATGTTAATACACCTACAGTATACTCATATATTTATAAGATCCTGAGATAAATGGCAGCACCTGAAATGATTTGCAAACATAGCAATGAAAGCTCAGATAATGTGCATGGAAAAATGATTTCCTTTATTATTTTGCTTTTCAAATATTAAACAGATAAATTAAATAGAAATGGAAGGATTTTTTAAACATTCAGGTTGGAACAAGTACTTAGTAGTCTTTGTAAAGCAGAATTTAGATTAAACAATGCTAATGTTTGTAAAGGTGGATGCTGCACATTGGTGGTACTGGAGGGGACTCCCCATTACCTGTAAAGTGCTTTGAGTGGAGTGTATAGGAAAGTGCTATATAAGTGTAAGCAATTATTAATTCATTATTATAAATTGATGATTTCTGGAACACTTGGATCCAGGAGGTGAGTTTACAGAGTTATCTTCCACGGTTACTGTGTACATTGTAGAATGTGTACAGAGAGGAACAGATGAGCACATACTCTTTGGGCAGGAGCTTGGCAGGTGTAGCTCACTTGCTGAGTGCGGTATCTCTGACTTGCTTCACAGAGAGAGAGGTGCGGATAGTGTCGGGTTTAAGGAACACGGATGTGTTTGTGGGGCAGCAGGCAGTGTTCTCCTGCCAGGTTTCCCGGAAGGGGCTGAAGGATGTGCAGTGGTGGTTGGATGGCTCCTCTCTGCACAACAGCCCCTTCAATGAGATAAGCGTTCAGGACGGCACGACCCACACGCTCACCCTCAACAACCTGGCCGCTGACGACTCCGGCACGGTGACTTTCAAAGCTGGAAGCCTCGTTTCTTCTGCCAAATTATTAGTAAAAGGTATCAAAGCAAAAGAGAGGAAGAGCAATCTGGCTTAACCCTTTCCACCGGGCCTTACAGTGTCTGAATAATTTCAGATCAGAACCTGACTTTTACTTTTATTTTTGTCTCGTGGCATTTCTCTTATTATCAACCCACTTTTAATTACAGTGGGTTAAAGCCAGACTAAACCATTTCTTAATTAACGTACATCGAAGGAAAACAAGGTGACAAGACAAGAGGAAAAACATTCAGTCCTTTTATTTCTTTGTGTTTAAGGCCTGACAGTGTGCTGTTCAGTTTTTCATGCACTCTGTCTGAAAAGGGTTAATGGCATTGCTGCTTATGATGTTTATTAGTACAGTAGAAGCTTGATATATATTGTCATTGTTCATGCCCTTTTAATGCATGACGCATTCTTTTGGTTATTTTAACCAAAGAGCACAAAAAAGGGAATTGCCAATCACAGCACCTGCAGGATCACAGAATAGTTCAACAGGCAGGCCCCAGTACTCTGTATGTTTATATCAGAATGATATAAAGTGAGTTGTGCTCTGTTGTCACTCGACTACACACCAAGATTTTTAGAATGTACAACCAATGTTCACCAAGTGAAAACTAAAAATACATTTCTGAGTTTTCCAGGGACAAATTCACGTTAAAGACAGTATATTTTATGTCAAAAATGGATTCCATCAACCTAAATGCATCTATTTTAAAATGCTATGAGAATTGCATTTCGTGTTGTACAACATTTTGGTCCTCTGTATTGTTTCTGTATCATTTTCAAACTCAGCTTACCAACAGAGATCACAATTATCAGTCAAAATCAGGGAAACTTAGTGTACAGAATAGAAACGGAGTAAAACGAAGCACTTAATTTCATCTGCTGTATTTTTCCACCCCCACTTTCTGTGAGCTCCACCTAAACGCTTTCATTTACTTCAACGCCCAATCTCTTTTGCAAGCACTAAAACTGGCTAACCCCTCCATCTTGGCCCTGAGTTTTTGCTGTTGCTCACCATTTGCTTCCGAGTGACTTGCCCTTGCCTTGGCTGAGCGCCCTCTGCGTCGTGCATGTCCTCACTGACATGTTGGCTGACAGATCCCACAGTGGAGGTGGTGAGTGCCATGGAGGACATGTGCGTGGAGGAAGAACAGCCGGCTGAGTTTATCTGCCAGTACTCCCGACCTGTCAAGGCGCTTTGGAAGAAGAATGGCAAGCAGCTGCAGCCTGATAGTCGCAGGGTCCTTGTGGAGCAGGACTGGAATGTGGCCAGACTTAAGATCAACCGTGTCACTATGGAAGACAGGGGTACATACTCATGTGAAGCTGAGGGAACCACAGTGTTCGCTCTTCTTGAAGTCCAAGGTGAGCTCTTCACCATCCCTGTGAGGAGCCAGGCAGACAGATTCACACACTCTTTCCCCATTGCCTTCATTAAGTCAGGAAGTCATGCCTTGACAGTGCAGTTCATTTTCTTTCTTTAGGTGCTCTCAGACATCTCAAAGCACAACTCTTTTCCTTCTCCTACTCATGGAAATATCCTTCGATACCGCTATCTGTGACTGCTGTATTGCCTCGAACTATAGTAAACGAGTGAGGGAAACACCGGTAAATGAAGTGAAAGAATAGGCAGAAAAAGGAGTATATTCCATATTCCAAATGAATGCAAATGTTGGTTTCTAAGTGTTTGGGAAATATATTTATATTAGCATGTGCAAAATGAGTAGTCAGTTTGAGGCTAAACTAACATTAAGTCGCAGAAAAGAATTTCCAAGCAGTTGTATACAATCGATAGAGTGGGAGTGAGTTGGCCCGTGTGTCCTAAGTTTGGTGCAGAAGAGCAACTCTTGTGACTTGTTGGATGCCTATGAACATATGATGGTGTCTTTTGTTGAAGCACCATTGGACTTGCAACAAGGAAAATGGCAGGTGTCTCCAGTGAGTGCACTGGGATAGGTGAATTCACTGGGATAGGAATTGCTGTGGTAATTGCAGCTGAGATGAGGAAATTGGAAATAGAATAGAGGATACACTACAAGGAAACTAATGGCTGTAAAATGAAAAAAAATAACCCAGACTCAGATTATACTAAGAGGTAAGACATTAATTGGGATTGCTTAGTACTGCCAACAACAATTACAGGAATTACAGAAGACTACTGAAAAATTACTCTATGTTGTCCAGTTTATAGGACAGTATATTACCAGAGATAATTTCTGCCATTGACAAATTGTACATTTTGGGACCCCATTACGGTCACTGTTGTCTCTCATCCACAGCTAAACCCATAGACATCATCCAGGGGTTGGAGAACGTAGAGACAGTGGATGGAGGTGAAGCACTGTTCGAGTGCTCCCTCTCTCGACCAGAGCTGCGGGACTACCGCTGGCTGATAGATGACCTACCAGTGCGGGAGACTGAGAACATGGAGATGGCAGTGTTTGAGCACGGACGCCGGCACCTCCTGCTTCTTAAAGACCTGCATCCTGAAGATAGCTGCCGGGTCACCTTCCTGGTTGGCAATGTTGTCTCCTCTGCATTCCTAACAGTTAGAGGTACTCCTGCTACTTATTATATTGGCACTAGTCAGCCTTTTGTCTAGCAATTGATCACTGACTCAGAAGAACAGTGTTGAAACTTGTGTTTGTAGTGGTACATTGTAGAACCTGCAAGAATGTTCTAGACCATTTGGTTCTAAAGGCCATATACTGTATAAAGTTGACCTTATTAACCAGCATTGTAATTTTGCAGTTTTCCCAAGATGCGTAAGAAAGTAAGTTGGTAAGCGTGTGTGACACAGTGCCTTGTCGTCCTGAATGCAGGGTGGCAGCTGCACGTGGCGAGGCCGCTGGAAGACGCAGAGGTGGTCGTGGGGGAGCAGGTGGTGTTTACGTGTGAGCTGAGTGAGCCTGTTCCCATCAGTGAGGTCACCTGGTACCTCAATGGCTCAGAGATCCATGCCGACAGCCACACCTGGGTTACGCAAGCCGATGGCAATTCCTACAGCCTCATCCTCAAACAGGCTCAGCCTCAGCACTCCAAAGAAGTGACCTTTGCAGCTAGGGATGCCATCTCCACTGCCAAACTCACAGTCATTGGTAAGCTTCTCGTGCCTTCACAGCTGTAGTCTTTGAAAATTTCTTGATAGCATTTCAACCTGCAATCTAGAAGCGGCTGTCTAAAAGTAGTCATCTCCCATTCCCTTGTATCTAGGTATTGAACATGCCTGCTTGTTTCAAGGTTTTCTTGTGTTTTAATTGAATCCTATCACTACCTGAAAAAAAAGGCGTTGGTTTTACCATAATCAAACTTTTGGGAACAGGCTTCAAGTTCATTGTATCAGATTCAACAAGGGTCTCAAAATCTGTACACCACATCTACATCTACATCACTTTGCTTTATGTGAAGTGATGTAGAATGTGCTCTGTTCACACCACACTGCTGATCATGGGACATTGGTTATGTCAAGTGTTTAAGAAATTGTAAATGGTGAATGTTGCTCATAACACTGTAGTAAAAATTTTGGTACCAGTTCTTAGTGGCACCAGAATGGTAAAGAATTCTGCTTTTGTGGTCCTCTGTCATTCCTCAACAGGTCTCAATGTAGAGAAAACTAGTGTTTAAATTAAAAAGGCTTAGTGAATGAGTTCATACAACTGTTAGAGAAAATAGATTTCTGTTTTCTCTTTTTGTGCTTTTCAAGTACCATGTTTCATGCAGTTTGAAGAAGGGTGGACAAATGCAGACTACAGTTTCAAGTTTTAAGCTGCATTTTAAATTCCTGTTTAATGTTTAAAGGGAATATTTATAGGATTTTGTTTCAAATGAGGCTAGAAAAATAGTTATTTAGCCATCCTCTATACTTAAATAATTTACTTGCATTAGAATGACAATAAACTAGGAGCACACTAACTCTGTCGTACTCTTAAAACTGTCCACTTCCACCACTGAGATTTAAATAATGAAGGAAGAAACTACAGTAAGAGAATATTTAAAGGAGAAAACAAAAGTAAATTATACTTGTTTTCTTTGAGGATGCAAAATAAAACACGGTTCCTAGATGTTAGCTAAGTTTTTTTATTCAAAGCATTTTGGCGCACATTCAATCAATCCCCGTTTTTTAAACTGCTGTCTTTCAGGCACCTCTAATTGTCTAATCCCAATATCCCCCACAAAGTCTCAATGCTCCTGAGACACCAGGGCAGAGAGGCCCCCACAACTCACATACTGAGAGGACTGTCTCACATTCTACATTTTCTAGATCATCCTTGATTATCACACAGAGTGTAGGCCTGAATAGTGGTGAATAATGTATTGTGTTGAGGTAGATTTCTTGTAGTTTCTTGATTCTTAGCTTTAGAAGAGGGTCCTTCTGGGAAAATAAACATTGGAAGAAGATGTTTTAGTGCTAGAGAAACAAAGCATGAAGTTTTGGATGATTCATTCAACACACCCTTTTCTTAACTCTTCATTTTCCCCTTCAATACATCATTCTATGGAAATAACAGACAATCCTGAAATCTAGTCATGTTTTCCCTTCACAATTCCCCCAACTAATGGTTCATGCAGAGTAAATGTCTTGCTGCTTTTTATAGGCAGACATATATCCAGTACAGCTTTGTTTATCTTCATCTCCCAGATTTATAAATTCATAAATATAGAGGTATTTCGAGATCGTGGAAGATACTTTACATGTACAGTTGTGCCATTTTAGAAAAGAGTATTAGATTGTATCTTGCAGATAGGCATCAGTTAGTGGGAGGGTTTGAATTGATTTAGAAAATTGCAATATCCAGCTAGATACGTCTCAGTAATGTGACCACGTTGTGTAATACTTTCTCTGGTACATTAGATTAGTTTCTCTTCTTGCCTTCCATATAACCTCCCCCCTCCCCTCCACATAGCCCTTCCTGACCCTCCTGAGGACCCAGAGGTGGTGAGTAAGAACAGCGAATCAGTGACGCTGTCCTGGTTCACGCCCCTCAATGATGGGGGCGGGAACATTCTGGGCTACAGAGTGGAGATGCGATTGACTGACAGTGTCCTGTGGCAGCCGTGCCACACGGAACCCATTCGGAACACAGAGTTTGTGGTGGACAACCTGATTCCAGGAAAGGCGTACAGATTCCGAGTAGCCGCAGTGAACCACGCTGGCACTGGGGAGCCTGTCCATTTACCACAAACTATACAGCTAGGTGAGAGACGCTATGCTGCTTCAGGACTGCATTTGCACGTCTTAGGTGTGGTGTTTTAGTCGGTAAGCATCAGAAGTGAGGCAAAAAATTTTAATTCATTGCTGCTTCAATTGGCTGCAATACGTCATAGCTGATAACCCATGCATATGCCTGTAAAGATTAGAAATGTGCTTGAAGTTTGCAGATAAAATGATACAATCGTTTTCAAATTTTGACAGTTTCCCAATCACCACAATATGTAGTAGTGGGATTTCAAAAGTGAATGTGGGTGTTTCACTTTTAACATTCATTCTCAGGTTAGGAGAGAGTTACTTTCATTCCTTTACATTAACTCTTCCACAGCAAACCCAGATTAACAAACCCCAATTCCTAATACTAATCCCAATTCCCTAAAAGGTAATAGATGAGAAATATAAGATGCTTGTGTTGCATAGGGTGAGCTATAGAATCTCATTAGGATGTCTCATGTGTACTTTTGAAGAAACAAAAACACTGGATGTTTAAGGTAATTTACTTTTTTTTACAGTATTATTCTGTACTCCTCTTACACACAAGTTCCTTGTGATGGTATCTGTGGTTTGTACCTACTGCTCAGTGAAAGTTTAAAGAATTGAACCTTTTTCACAACATCCTTTGTAGCAAAAAAATTTTTGGTATTCATCTGATGTATTTGTTGACCTGTAAGTAATTTATCATGTCGGTTGTATGGATATTAGATTTTGTGAATCAATTAACATCAAGTAGTATGTAGTTGAACTCCATAATGCAGATGAAGTGCAATAATTCTCTTCATCGCACTGCAAAAAGTAACAACATGCTATTTCCCAGCATGCAGTTGTCCCACTTGCATGGAACATAACTTCAGCAAATGGCAACATTTTCCCCTTATTGCATCTATTATTCTGTAACAAAAAAAGGGGGATTTTTCTGCTTTACTTTCCAGTGCCTTCAGTGTTCAAAATTGGAAAAAACTACCATACATTATAGTGTGTCGATTTCATGAAAAATAAGAGGGTTAGTAGAGGCTAGTGTCTTTGGTGGGTAATTGGTGCTAAACAGTATATGGAGTAATTAATCTCTAATTTCCCATTGTAAACTTTAGCCTAGGCTTCAGTGTCAACTAGTTTACAAAGCTTCCAAAGAGTCCACTGAAACAGAAAAGGTACTGGTTTGATACTGAAGGGTACTGATCAGTGGGCTTTGTGTCCTGCAACCTGCTTATGCCCCTTCATTGAGAAAGCACAGCAAAGGCTGAAACAACACAAACTGAGTGTCTTATGCCCCTTAGTTTGTGTTGTTTCAGCCTTTGTTGTACTTTCTCAATGAATATACACTGCTTGTCAAAGACTCTCCAGGGCTACCTTTTCTTGTGCATGAAAGGAAATGCAGCTCAAGTATCACGGCAGTCCTGAGTTAAGTCACAAAATGTTCTTGTAGGCTCACTTTTACCCATAACTCCACTAAGTGTTATCAAGGATATCTTAAATCAATCTCTCAATTGATATAAATGAAAGAATTATAAAGTGTGAAAGATTTGTTTTTTAAGTTTAAGTTATTTAATGCCTAGTTTCTATTTGAGCTGTCACCAATATTTTGGGATTTTTGAACCTGTAGAATTAACTGGTGTCTATAAATGTGTACAGGATTGACAGTTTTTTTGTTACTGTATATCTACTGTGGACATTAGAAAACTTTATTATAAATGAATGATTTATATTATATAGTTTTGCCTCAGGCCTTTCATTTCAACTTCGTATTTTATATACAAGATGGCAAAGGTATTGTGTTCCAATTTACTGAATTAACTTCATAAGAATTTATATATATAAAAGTCAATGATGATATAAAAAAACAATAATTGTAATTCCTGTCTGTGCAGTGTATTTTATCAGTCCTTGTCAACAAAGCCAGATTGAATTGCACTTTCCACCTTTCTTCAATTCCATCAAACATATTTCTATATTTATCCCTCAACCCCAGCAGCCCCCATTTCTGTGACCAAACCCCTGTCCAGCCCTGCTGTGAGGGAGGGGGAGACAGTCTGTCTGCAGTGTGAACTGTCCAGTGAGCACAGTTCTGTCATCTGGCTGAAGAATGACAAGCATCTCCCCCTGGGGAAGAAGTACCAGGCCACATCGCAGGGGAAGAGGCAGGAGCTGCTTATCCAGGATTTCAGGCCTGACGACCAGGGCATCTACGCCTGTGTGGCTTCACCTGAGGCTGAGACATCTGTAGGTCTCTATTTAGAAGGTACAGCATAGCTCTTTAGATCCTCTCCCGTCACTTGTTCAGGAGGCTATGTGCTATGAAAGGGATAAAGTGTAAATTGTTTTCCAAAACGTTTGTTTTATGGTCAAGCCATGTTTAATATGTCAAATATTGATCCAAATTTAAATAAATGTAACATCACATTAAACCTTGAAACTTGCTTCCATCATAGACAACAAGTAATTAAAATAGTTCAGGTGGGTAGCTGTGTCAGCATGCATAGGCTGCAAAGGAACAAGTAATAGGTTTATTCCATGCTGTAAAGAGAAGAAAGAAAACAACGTTTAGGCTGTGGAGCCTTCTTCAGATGTAATTAAAATGTTTCCTTTAGAAACTCAGTCTCAACAGGTAGGCAAGATTGTAGAAGTGTCTCAAGCTGTGTGAACAAAAAGTAATGTACACTTTAAAAAACAACCTTACACAGCATTTTATTTACTTGCTCCCCCATCTCTCAGAGTTTACCCCGCCCATGGAGGTTCCAGGTGAAGAGGAAGAGGCCCCTATCCAGCCCAGTCTGCCCCCTGAGGCAGCTCAGGAGGGTGACCTTCATCTCCTGTGGGAGGCCCTGGCCAAGAAGCGCCGCATGAGCCGGGAGCCCACTCTGGATTCCATCTCGGAGGTGCCAGAGGAAGATGACAAACTCTCCAAGGAGCGGAGACAAAAAGCAGAGGAGGAGCCTCTTGCCAAGCCTGATCTTGAGCAGTTCTATGCCAGTTCAGAGGATGAGTCCTTAACTGGGGCCACTTCCTTAGTCTCCTATCTCAAGAAAACCAGTCAGTCCACTGTCACCTTTGTTGGAGGCCAAGCCCAAACTGTTTCTACCAAGAAGTTCTATGATCTCTTTGAAATGTCTGAGGCAGAACCACCTCAGAAGATGGCAACATTGGAACCCCCTACCATGGAAATAGGGAAGGATGAGGAGTCTGAAATGACAGAGGCAGCCATTAAAATTCAGGCTGCTTTCAAAGGCTATAAGACCAGGAAGCAGTTGAAGCATCAGGGAGTCCCTGTCTTTGGTGATGTTTTTAAGGACCAGACATGTGAGCCCAATGGTACTGTCCACCTAGAGTGTGTGTCACTCATGAAATCTGACATCCAGGTACGATGGCTGAAAGATGGGGAGCAGCTGTATGATGGGAAACACCATCACATTGACATCTACAATGATGGCACCTGCTGCTTGATAATCACAGGCCTGACACCCAAAGACACAGGAGTCTACACCTGTGAAATTTCGAATAAATTGGGCAAGGTATCCCACAGTGCTAAAGTCACAGTGGGAAGCTCTCGCGACATCCCCACCCAGAAACACAAGCACATTCCCTATGGGTACAGTGCAGATAGTGAGCCAGAGAGCTCCTCGGGTAGTGAAATGGATGAATCCCTGCGGAGAGCAGGGAAAAGGCTGCGGCGACTCCTCAGGACCAGGCTGTCGCAGGACATGCCTGATGTGGAGGAGGAACCCTTTGTGAGTGCTGATGAAGGAGACCTGGAGGCTGCTGACCAGCAAACGTACCGAGAGGATGACAAGTATATCTACATCAGGTTTGATACTCTTGCAGAGGCACAGGTGGCATCCAGACGCTTCCAAGAGATGTTCACTGTTCAGGGGGTCCCCATAGAAACGGATATCCTGCAGGAAGGCCTTCGGAAAGTTGAACTCCGCATTATGAAGGCAGCCCCGCCTCAGGCCAAGGAGAGCCCTCTGACCCCCACTGCGGAGAAAGAACAGCCTGCTTACACACTTACTGGATCCGGTTAGTGTGCCTTCACTTCTGACACCAAGTAAAGGCTGAGTAATGTATAGTTCCTAATGCATCTCAAGACCAGGAAATGAGCATTTACATGTTTTACTTCTTGAATTTGAAAAAGTTGAATTTTTAGGGAGTTGCATTGATTGCAATGACTAGTCTGATGAGAACATTATCAGACATTGGAGCAACTGGATGATTAAAAATAGATTTTTCAATTTACTTCATTGCTGCATCATAAAAGAAAGACTCAATATTCTTAAGACCAATAAAGAACTCTTCATTGCAATACAAAGCATTCTGAGTTAAAACTTTTCTGTGATTGTTTTACAGAAATCCTGTTGTATTTTAATTGATTTAAAATGTATTAAAAATTGTATTAAAATGTATTAAAATGTCAGTCTGTATGAATTCTAATGCTCAAAGTAAATGCTTAATTTGAACCAAAGACTTACTTTTGAACTAAAGACTTCTGATCCCTTCTGTGTCCTCGTAGACATACTTTATCTAAACATCTTTACCAGTCATTGGATAACCGTGGTGTGTTAACTAACAAAACGATTGCTATCTATGCTGGTCAAATATGGGATGATCTTCAGTTGTGCTTTGTTTGATTTTGTCCTCCATCCCTGCAATGACAGCTCCCCCAGTGTTCCTGACGGAGCTGCAGAGCCAGGACGTGCCAGACGGCTACCCAGTCAGCTTTGACTGCGTGGTCAGTGGCAAGCCCCCTCCCACTGTCCGCTGGTTCAAGGATGGGAAACTGATCGAGGAGAATGACCACTACATGATCAACGAGGACCAGGAAGGCTGTCACCAGCTCATCATCACCGCCGTCCTGCCCAGCGACATGGGGGTGTACCGCTGCATGGCCGAGAACTGCAGTGGCATTGCCTCCACCAAGGCTGAGCTGCGGGTGGATGGTGGGTACCCACTTCAGGAGCAGCAGGGTTCTTGGTCATCTCCAGCAGGAGGTCCTACCAGTCCCCGACATTACTCAATTAACCATTTATTGTCAGCTCATGTACCGTTGGAGATTTCAAATTACATTGCACATTCTATGAATCATTTTTAAAGCAGTTAAAAAACTAAAATATGAAGTTTCTTAGTTATGGCAAGTAGAAAAGGATTATAACATTGAAGGTTTTATCATTACTTCTTAAACTCCTTACCAAGTTCTGTATAGTTCATAACTGGAAGAATTCTTTAAATTCTTTTAATGTTGATTAAGGATTCTTGCTGCTATGACCTTCTCACTACTCCATTTATTACCGTTTTAAGATTATGAAAATGTACAAAGCTAAAAAAGATAATTACTATCTGATAGGCTGTGCAAAATGTCTATTGAAAGAAGAGACTAAGTCTGCTCTTTCCTGAGATTTCAACGTGCTTTGTACTATTTATTCTCATTAATAATATTTTATTATTTAGAATATAAGAATATACAGGGTCGTATCCCTCCATGTTATTACATATCATGGTATTTAATACATTAGTCTAACACTTCTTAATTCGGAGTCTGATTTGGTTTTAAAGTGGGTCAGGGTTGTCATTGCTATTTTTTCTTTATCTCCAGTGTCTTGCAGCTCTGACTATGACACTGCGGCTGATGCCACCGAGACCTCTTCCTATGTCAGCGCTAAGGGTTACCTGTCCAGGTGAGGCAGAGCAATGGGACAGTATTGTTTTGCATTTCAGGAGTCTGTCCACTTTAGTGGCCAGTTGTCCTCTATATAAGCCAAATCTGGCAAGCTATATGCATTCTTTTCTATAAAATTTAAAATTCAGAATGTTTATGAAGTACAGTAATAGTACACAATATGTTGTTGTTGTTGTTGTTGTTGTTGTTGTTGTTGTTGTTGTTGTTGTTGTTGTTGTTAATATCAATGTTATTATTAGTAGGGCAGCATGGTGGTGCAGTGATTAGTGGTAGAAAAAAGGTGGATGGAATTTATTATCGGGAGTAATGCTAATGACAAAATAAAGTGAAATAGATTTACCACACATCAAACTAATTTAACACATTTCCCCTTCTTTGTGCGTGGGAGAAGAGAGCAGGAAGGCTTTGAATCGATGACAGACGAGGGGCAGGTCCCCCAGGTAGTGGATGAGTTACACGACATTTATGTCAGCCCTGGAGCCCCCATTGCCAAGATGCATGTCAAGGTCAAAGGTCAGTAAAACATTACATTGTTAAGGCCTCTTTCTTCATATCAGACCATTAATTTTGTATTCTTACAAATTAGGCTCTTTTGAATACTGTAACCATTATTGTTGCTGTAAAACAAAGCTCAGGCCCACTAGCTGACAAATGAGGAGACCCCAAATAGAGAAGCTGGACACTACAAAGGTGAAAAATGTTTTGAAGCATTTAGAAACATATCTAAGGCATCAAAAGCACAATATTTAAGTTCATGTTCATTTATGTTGCTTTCTTTTCACATACAAGGAATGCCATGCTAAAACTGTATAATACCCTGACACTGATCCATAATTAATTGCCCATGACAGTTTTCCCCACAGCATTTAATCGCAGACAGCTGTTCTCTGTTATAGTTGTTCCCCTCAATAATACTCCTTCACTACATGTTGCCCCAGCTATAAATACTACACACGTCAGTCCACCCCTGATAAAATTCATCACCATAATGATTCAACCAGATGATGAAAGATGCAATGAATTCTTATCTTTTAACAAACCTATATATCACAACATTTTGTAACTATGTGTATATAAATGTATTAGTCATAATACCATGTTGATTTATGTGTATGTGCATAGCCAATCTAATATTCCTTTTCTTCCCATTCTGTCAAATATTTCCATCATTTATTTTTTAGATGCCAGTGTTGTTGTTGAGACGGTGCTTAGTGATAGAGCTGGCTGGGATTTAGGATGAATTCACAAATGTTTCACTTTTTCTAAATGTAATGTGTAAATGTAAACCTCCTGTAATGTGAAGTTTAACAGTACTTTCCTGTGCTGCCAACAACTGGACAAGAAGACATGACTGACCAACATGGCCTGGACATTTCTTGTCTTTTTCATACTGCTGGGCCTCAGGCTATCCTGCTCCACGGGTGTACTGGTTCAAGGACGGCCAGCCACTGAGGCCCTCTGACAGAGTGCTGGTGAGCGAGGAGAAAAGGCTGCACTGTCTTGAGATCCTGGAGGTCTCCCAGGAGGACGCGGGGGAGTACTCCGCCTACATCAGCAATGCCGCTGGGTCTGCCTACTCCTCCGCCAGGCTCTTTTTGCACAGTATGTAAAGACGCTGACAAAACACAGATTGAATCCGAAAGCACACTGACTTCTACAGAGCCCTGCTGTGTAGGAATGTAGCACCCAATACTAATAAGCACCAATAACTAAACAAAGCCGTGACCATGTACCCTGCAGCCCAGTAAAGTGTTTTGGAAAAGTGGACAACTCCACTTTGTCTGGGGTTTGCTTGTTTAAATACGCTGGGCCTCTGTAATACAGTTTCTCTTGCTTGTTGCTGTCCAAGATAGCAGTATAACAACCAAATGAAACTGACCGAATGTTTCCCCAGGTCCTGGGGAGCAGATTGCTGAGGGAGACAAGCCAGATGCTGGTAAAGCCAAAGGTAAAGACATCCCCCTCATTTGTCAAGCACATGACAGAACAGGAAAAATTCAGCATTAGTGTATTAGTGTCAAATCAGGCTAGGTGGCTGTAATGCTGTATAAAGTGGGTGTCTTCACTTTTCTTATAGGATGAGGGAATTAAATAATAATGACCTTTACTATTTTGTTAGACACAAGCATGAAGTGACAAGATAAGTGTGTAGCAAAATCCTTGGAGGGGCTGCGTGTTTTTATTAAACAGGTTATGATTCCACAGAATAATGCAGTGACAGATGCATAACAAAGTAAAATAAAGTGGTTGATTTTACCACTTCTTCAAAATGTATTTTAACAGTATGTTTTGAAAAGTTTGGCATTGGTGGTGATCATATTTTGTTTTGCTGCTAACACATGGCAGCCTTACTCCATCTTTGATGTACAGTAGATGCACTGGGGTATACTATAAGTATGTGTTACTCTAAAAGAGCTCTGAAGCATTTGCATATGATTGTGATATACAATATATGTATTAATTTTCTGGGTAACTTTTAACTTAACAATTGAGTGAATATTACTTAAATGACAAAAACTTAATTCTTTCCGAAAGTTCATTCATTCATATGTTGTCAGATGAATTCTAAAAGAAAGAAGATATATTGTGAGATGAGTTCTGACATGTGTTTGTATTTGGCATTTAAAGGCACAAAGGAAATGGTGGTACCCCCTCGCTTCTTGGAAAGGTTCACTAACAAGAAGGTGAAGAAAGGTTCAAGCATCACTATGTCTGTCAAAGTGGAAGGTAGGGCTGAGAGCAAGGCCACAGACAATCAGGGGTTTTACTGTTTGTCTTTCGGACCTTGACATTGTCACTGTGTTCCTACAGGGTTCCCTGTGCCCATGATCACTTGGCTTAAAGAGGAATCTGCAGAGGATGTTTTGTGGATAAAGCCAGACACACCTGGCTATAAGGTGGCCAGCTCCAAGCATCAGCACAGCTTGATTCTGCTGGATGTGGGAAGAGAGTACTCGGGCACCTACACCTGCATTGCCACCAACAAGGGTGGCCAGTCCATCTGTACTGCACAACTGGAAGTGATAGATGGTAAGATATGACTTCCAGGTTCCAGCACATGACCAGTTCAGGCCATTTCGTTTTTCACAGTAACACAGATGGCTCAGCCTCAATGCAGTTTCTGAGTTAAAAGCACTACCTATTATTTTATCTACAGTATCTTCAAAACACCACGTAAAGCCAAACCTGTACATAAAACTATGAATAACTACAGAGCAATTTTGCACTCAAAAGTTCAATAATAGTATAACCTCGGAATAGTATTTCACTTTTACTGTAAATATGGTGCCAGAGCTGCAAACACTATGGCATGGCCACATACCATACTCACATTGAGAGACTTTTAAACAGAGGAATAGATTCCAGACTCACAGATCTGAATAAACTCTGCAGGCTGTATACTCAAGTGTTTTGCGAATCCAGCTCTCTGTACTGTGGCTGCATTAACATCCTACTTTTTCAGCTTCTGAAGAGGAGATGCAAGAAGTGGAGCAGAAAGTCGAACCCTCTCACAAGTTACTGCAAGAGTGAGTGTTAAAGAGCATTCCTGTGCCTCAAAAATGCCAGACACATTTTTTTCTCTGAAAATAAAGGCTGTGTAAATACAATCAACCGTTCCCGATTCCAGCTAAGCTCTTTCGTTAAATGCTCAATCACAGTTCATCAGCCGAGTCCATCAAGTCACAGATCTTTGGTCACAGGCTTAAATCCTTTTTGTCCCACAATTTATTTTGTAGAATAGGCAAAATAAAAGGGAATGTGCAGTGTTTGTTGATTATAATCATGTGAACAGAAATATCAATAAATAAATACAAAATTTGAGCAACTACTGTACATTACAGTAAATAAGGCTGAAATTAGATTTTTATATACGCTCATAGATAAATTCATAGCTCACATTAGGGAACATTTTCCAGGGCTGTGACTTCTTAATCATAACCCCAAATCATGGCAGAAGTAAAACTTTAAAAACATTTTTGTATAATTGAAGCAAATCTCTGATCTCAAATCACAAGATTTGATGAAGATGTATTAATAGAATTTAGAGAACAGGTTGAAGAGCAGGTCAACACAATCACTTGTAAGTGTTGTTAGGGTGGAAGCAGCCATATTACTCTGAAACTCACAACTGAAAACCCACTGAAGCTAAGCAGGGCTAAAAACTAAGGTTGCTGCTGGAAGAGGTGTTAGCAGGGCCAGCAGGGGGCGCTCACCCTGTGTTCTGTGTGGGTCCTAATGCCCCAGTACAGTGACAGGGACACTATACTGTAAACAGGCGCCGTCCTTCGGGTGAGACGTAAAACTGAGGTCCTGACTCTCGGTGGCCATTAAAAATCCCAGGGCGTTTCTCGAAAAGAGTAGGGGTGTAACACCGGCGTCCTGGCCAAATTTCCCATTGGCCCTTACCAATCATGGCCTCCTAATAATCCCCATCTATGAATTGGCTACATTACTGTGCTCTCCTCCCCACTGATAGCTGATGTGTGGTGAGCGTTCTGGCGCACTATGGCTGTCGTTGCATCATTCAGGTGGATGCTGTACATTAGTGGTGGTGGAGGGGAGTCCCCATTACCTGTAAAGCGCTTTGAGTAGAATGTCCAGAAAAGCGCTATATAAGTGTAAGCAATTATTAATTATTATTATTATGTGGTATAAGACATCAGTGTCCTAATATTCATTTGATTGTTCTGTGCTTGTTATTGAGAATCACACATAAGACATGAGCAGAGCAGTGAAAAATGATCACACGAGTGCACTGGACCACCTACAATCACCACAACACTGTCATCTGTGATTATTTCCTATTTCTGTTTTAGTTTTGGCCCTTATTTGAATTCCATATGTTTTTAAGGATCTTTTTGTAAAACAGATCCTGCTGCCTCAGAATTTCCTGTCTCAGATGTGTTTTTCTGTCAGTCCGGTCATCTGTCCAAACCCTTTGCCCTTCCAGTGCTACCCTGGAGTGTCTATAGAAGATGTGTCTGTGTTCTTGTGTTTCAGAATCATTGATATTACTGTACACCCCCCGGAAGCAGAGCACATTCTTGGAGCCCCAGGAAAAGGTAAGTGTGCAGGCTCTTTTCTTTCGGTTTTAGAATACATAATTTCTTCTTCAGCCACTGGATTTCTGAATGTGGATTTTAGCTGGTAGGGTGGAACAGCATCCCTCTTGTTAAACAAAGCATTCCTTGTGTTAAAAGAAGTCTTAAAAGTATAGCTCGGCCTCAATCCCATAAGGAAAATTCTTTCTAAGGGACCCTCCTCTGATTTGGTTGTGAATATAAGTCAAAGTTAGCAACAATATACGGCTCTTAAAACGTTAAAGGTATAATTTGGAAGATGTATTTGTATGTTTCTCTTGTCAAAATTACCTATGCAACACTGTCCTAATTTCACTGCAATTTCCCTCACGGGATTAATAAAGTATTTATCTGGGTGAACTAGCTGTCCATGGTTGCTAAATTTGACTTCTTACAAAACATGTAATCAGAAGTTTCCTTAGACAGTTCTGCTCTCTTCAGCAATGTGAAATGATTAGAACTAGCTAAAGCATATTTTCCAAGTAATACACTGTAACGCCCTACTCACTGGAGTATCTCAGTACCTGTCTGAGCTACTATCATCCTACTAAGCCCATCTACACTCTATGGGTGACAGGGCCTTCTCCTGTTATGCCCCAAAGCTCCTGGAATTCTATCCCCAAAGATACCAGAGAGTCACCTTCTCTGAGCTTTTTCAAAAAAAATTAGAAATGCTTTTATTTAACTGAATCTGTGTCTGCTCCTTTGCTTTCCTACTGTATTCCAAACCTGTTTTTAAAGGCGCTAGATAAAATAAAGTTAATAATAATAAATTTTGGAATAATTTTTAACATTGACTTTTCAAGCCTTTTTTTCCTGAGCTCTTGAATAATTTCTTTGAACAAAACGCTCCTCACGGACAAACTTTGTTCGCATTTTGTTTCATTGTTTTTTGCTTCAAGAAAAACACTTTACTTCACAAATAACAAAACTGGGTCTGTGAAATGTGTGACTCAGCCGGAGTGCTGCAGAGGAAATTTAAGGATAGCCCAGAAAAGGATTCCATATGTCTTTCTTTTTAAAAAAAAATATTTAGGAGAACAAGTGGAGCGTGTCGGCAGTAAACTCCTGAGCCCTTATCTGGGGGAAGTGGGTACAGAGGAGTTCTTACAAAAGCTGACCTCCCAGATCACAGAGATGGTATCGGCCAAGATCACACAAGGTGAGAAAGATCTGCCCTGGAGTGTTCCATTGAAACCCACCAAGGGGAGTACTTAACCCATATCTTCCTGTATACAGTATATATCTAGAGCTATAGTCACTTACTGTATCTCCCCTGTGATTTTTATTAATGCATGTATCAAACCCAGGGTTTTTTGGCTATTATGTTTAATATTGACCATCACTCATGGAGGTTAACATTGGAGACACAGCTTTGATCTGTGGACACTTCATTGAGTAAAGCTATGTTAATAACAATTTCATAATTCCTCATCTAAAATACTAACAGAGAACCGAAACTGTTTCAGCCAACTACAGATGTGACAATATACAATGCCTTGCAAATTAATCCAGACCCTTCCCATTTTGTGTGCCATTTAGTGAAATTCCAAATTGAAGCACACAACTTCATATTTTGTTTCAAAAGCTAAATGCTCAAACTGAAGACTTCTAAGAGTAAGATAAGTTACAACAAATACTGAAGATAAATACTAAAAACTAAAATATTTTGGAACATGTCGATTTGGACTTGTTTTTTGGGTCATTGTCTTGTTGTAAGGTGAACTTTTTGTCCACTTTTAGGCTGAAGCAGTTTCTCATACAAGATTTAGTACTTTTCCAGGACCTAGTACTTTTCTCCATCATCTAAACAGAGCAATAACATAATGCTGACACTACCATACTTGACAGTAGGGGTGGTATTGACTTAGACCAACACTATGTTGGGTCTTAATCAGATGTAATACTTGTATTTAGTATAAAATATTCCAAATTTGACTTGTCTGACCACATTCACTTACTGTAGGTGCTTTGTTACAAACCCCATGTTGGATTTGAGATGCTTTTTTTTTTCATAACCTTACAAGCCTCCTTTGTGCAAGGGTCTGAATTGCAAGACAGTGTAGATGTCTATGAGATTTTCATTTTCAAGAAAACTTTAAATAAACTGTTGTCTTGTTCATTTGTAAGACTGAAATTATTATTATTAAGTTATACAGTAAACATTATAGTTTAATGAATATAGCCCTTTCTGCTGTTTTGTTGTAATATTTGTATTAATTTATATTCAGATTAATAGGTTGAGTAATGGATTAAAACATCTTTGGTCGGACACATTAATATGCTTGCCAGTGTTAATTTATGGTTTGTTTGCTGTGGCATTTGGATGCTGGAAGGGGTCTTGCTGCCTGATTTGTGCTCCAGATAGTTCTACCATCTGTTCCCCCATTTCTTCATCCATTCCTTTATTCACCCATCCACTCACTCACTTACTCATTCAATCATTCGTTTGTTATTCAGACAGCTTTACGAACCATCAAGTGCTCCAGTGGATGAGGTCATGGCCCAAAGTATACAGTATGTATCTATGGTATATTAAGGCTCAATAATAGTATACAGTATAGTAGATTTTGTATTATTTCTAAATAAGCGTATCCCTACCCTGGATGGCACCTTCACTGTTCCATACTTTGCCGGCAGCCACATTTAACAGTATAGGCAGCTTTTATTGCCTCTGATTTTGTCTCTGTTTTTTCAACCTGACCTAGAGGTGGCCAGTCCAGGACCTGGAAAGCCACGATCTTTATGGGTGACTTTCAACTCATCAGTTTCAAAACTCTTTAATTTTGACCACTTATGGAGGTGATTTGTGAAATTAAGTATTATTAAAGATCTTCTCAAACAACAAATTCCACCACCCTGAAGATCGCAGGAGCTGTAACTGGTCATTGCTGATTTAATTGAAATGCCTCTTTTACTAGATAGATCGAAGTTTGAAGTCTGTGCAAATCGATGATTTAAGGATGACCTATGAACTGCAGGGTTGTGGCTTTCCAGCAACAGGGCTGACGACCATTTTCTATTTTATCACAGGAACAAATACTCACTCACTTCACACACAACTTAGACCTGGAACTGAAGTGGATTTATAAATGCAGCCTTCAGCACACTTTTAATCCTGTGTTTCGAAATGATGAGATGTATTTCTGAGTGATTTTATTTCCTAATAAAATAGATTTGGAATTTTTACAGCTTGTAAATTAAGACTTGAGGAATATTAATTAGTAATAACTCCACACATCTTATCCTCTGGCTTTCTTTCAGTTTGCTTTCATGTTTTGCTTCCAGGTTCACATTAAATGACTCATGCTCAGTATAAATGTCTATTCTGCATTTATACTGTGTTGTAAACATTTCATTACATAAAAGAGTGCAATTTTTTAGCATTATGTTGTGTAAAAAATGTAAACGGCTTACTTCCTCATTTTGCTCATCAGTTGAACACTAAAATAAAAATGCCTTGCTTCCAGGAGGTGTTTTGAAAGTTCCAACGTTTGAAGAATTTGAGATTAATGATATTGACGTGTTGTATTACCAGTGCTTGTGCAAGTTGTGTATAATGATGTGCAGCATGTATTAACTTTCTTTTTTATGTCATCAATTTAAAAATTTTGTTGTCAAAACTATTTTTCCACTTTTATATGAATCAGTTTGAAATGACCTAGTCATTGTTAATCCATTCCCAGTTATAACACCTCTATCTTTCTGGGAGTGATGTAGATCATTTTCTCTGAAATGTGCATCTTCATGTCTCTATTGTGAGACAATGGACCAGACAAAGGACTAACACAGTCATTACGTACAGTATATCATAGACCTGTGACAGATGACACTGGCTGGTTTGTAGTGAATTTGAAATGATTGAAACTCGTCCAATTATCGGACTCTTAGTGGCTAAGCACTTGACTCCTGCTTGCTGTTACAATGGCCTTATGGTGACAGGTGACATTCTGACATTCTCCATCCAGAGATCTTTTCTATTATCTTTCTTAACATTTCTTAAAATTCCCCAGTGACTGACAGTATAAAGGGTTTTTGTTTATATTACATCCATGCTAAAACAATTAGGGACAAGAAAGCTTGATTTGATGTGCTTCCAGATCTGTGAAGTTTTGTGGCACTGCATGTCGTGTAAGTATTTGCACACTTTAATGTCTCTGTTGTCTGAGACGGTGGAATACTATCATTTTCATGGCTATTGACAAATTCTCATGTAGCCTTTCACAAGGGGTAAAACCTGTACATTGTTCTTCTCAATCAAAATATGTACTGTATTTTATTTAAAAAAAGAGGAGCCAGCCATAGTGTATGTCTTAATACCTAAAATGGTGGTGTTGCCATACAGTATACATTGTAATTGACATATGCATTTTTTTCATTTTTCTTTCTTTTTGCATTCTTAATTGTGTTCTGACATCTGTATACACTCACAGTGTGAAACAAAAATTATCATTTAACTTTCTGATGCCAGTTCTGCACCTACCTGGAAGAAATGAAGAAAGATTGCAGGATTTTTCCAGATCATTCTACACCGAAGCAAGTTTGAGCTTTTTTTCTGCTTTCAGTTCATGCCAGTGCTGATGCCACTGTGCAGTAATTTGCAAAGCTGCTCTCCAGGGTTCTTTGTTTTTCTTCAAGCATTCATTCTTTTTACATCCCCTCCCACCCCCACCAGGTGATGGTTTAAAGTGTCACATTGCTGATGCCACTGGGAATGCCTCACACTTCACCGGTCACTAGACTCTAACCCTCACCTGAGCCTTAGGCTGAGTTAGAAACTAGCACCTTCAGCCAGTCAGCGGTCTTTGTGGATTTTGACAACACCATCTCACTTGTTGCAGCTTCTCTTCGCGTCCCAGGAGTAGATAGCGATGATGAGACAAAGACCCCCTCCCCCTCGCCACATCATGGACGCTCACGGCCATCCTCCCTCATTGCGGAGTCTTCCTCCGAATCTGATGAAGGGGAGTCCAGGGGAGAGGTATTAATTAATGTTAGCCAATCGTACTGTTCTGAAATCAGCATTGTTTCATCACAGTGATCATGTTCTCTTACAGTATTGTGCGGAGGATAACATTTAAAAAAAAAAAGAAAAGCAAGAATACACAATGTGATAATGGTGGCATTTCTTTTTGTGTTTAGATAAAAATGTAGTGAGAGAAGTAACACTTCTTAATAAATTCTTATTTTTCTTTGTATTTTTTTAACTCCATGTGTTATACAAAATCTTTGCTTACATAAAGTACACTACAGTTTGCATAAGAATGAATCTGACAGACCTCAAAGATGTGTGATTCCTGGACAAAAACAAAACTCTTCCAAAACATTCAAGACACAAAGCACCCACGCATTGCAAAAGAGTAACAAAACAGAAACAATTATAGAATGATAAATCTTTCTTCTTGAAATCTGGTTATTGAAATTAATTAGAACTAAATTAGAGAACCATTTGTATGGGAAGGTGAATCTAGGTGATTGTAAATATGGAATTAGAAAAGGCAGTTTAGACTGTCTTTGACTTGTTTGAACAAATCAAAATTAACATTAAACAAAAACTCAGGCTTTTGAATGTTGGCCGATTTTTTGTTTAATAAATAATGATAAAGTAAAATGTCTGTGTGTTATTTGTCACATGAGGTTAGATTTATCTGCTGTTAGGTCTTGCTGAGGACTAGGAAAAGATGTGTTTTAATAGGTAAAGACTTAGAATCTTGGGTGTACTTTCTTATTCACTGTAATTCAGAGCATTCAAGTGCATTTAAAACTGAAAGAGTAGGCAGTTTTCTGTGGGAGTTTTCATTTTGCTGAAGTTGATACCCTGGCTTCTTTTAATTACTAAATGAGATCCACTTAGCTACTAGTAAGCAATGTAACCTATGCTAAAATGTCTCTTGTACTATAATCCTTCTTATATTCTTGTGACTGTGTGTTGACCACTTTCTCTATCTCTTCAGATGTTTGATATCTACGTAGCTACAGCTGACTACACCCCTGCTGGTGGCCAAAAAGAAGCCATTGCTCTAAAAGAGGGACAATATGTGGAGGTCCTAGATTCAGCACACCCTCTGAAGTGGCTTGTTCGTACTAAACCCACAAAGTCCACTCCATCTCGACAAGGCTGGGTTTCCCCAGCTTACCTTGACAAGAAGCTAAAGGTACACTGGTGTTGAAAGTGTTTTAGAGCAATTTTTACACCAGAGGTGTGCAAGCTTTGTACTGTAAAGTAATCATGCAAGATTAGTAGGAATCCATTACTCCAGCTGCACAGAAAAACAGACACACTGTAGCTCTAGACAAAGCAACCCTCCTGTATCTTTTCATATCTGGAACTCATCTGCAATTCAGTTCAAACCTTGACTTGAACATGTGTATTTTCCCAAATAGACTTTAAGGATATAGTGAAAGGTTACAAAAGGGAAAGTAAAGAATATCACATCCAGTTTACTACAGGGTTGTAGGTGACCCCACTCCTAAAGAAGTAGGAAACATTTCTTGCGTTAAGTATCATAATGTTAGAAAAATTGTTACGCCAGCATTCAGAATGCAGAATTCCCCCAAATTCTTTGAGTTCTTTTGTTACAGAAATCCATTTTAGTTGAAATTTAATATTGATGACTATTTTCCCCATTATTGTGTCACAGCTTTCTCCAGACACACCTGTAGGAGAAGCTCCAGAGATCAGTGGAGAAGAGGTTTCTGAAGATGAATACAGGAGAAGACTATGGTAAGGAGACATGGGCACCCCATGAATTTCATGCCATGATCAGAATAGATTTCAGAGCACCTCAGGAAAAAAGTTACAAAAACATTTTAAAACATCTGTGGTTTAATAAATCCACTGTCAGACAGATGTCTGAAAATGAAAACCATTGTGACTCTGGCTAGTACCAATCATCAAGACAAGATCTCCCAAAGAGCAGCCTGGAAGTTCGTTGTTGAATTCACAAAGAACCCCTGAGTAACATCCAAAGTTCTACAAGCCTCTCTGGGTGCAGCTAATGTCACTGTTCATGCCTTAACCATCAGGAAAAGACTGATGGAGAATGGCTTTCATGGGAGGATAGGCAGGCAGAAGGCATCATTGATGGAACCATGAATTCGGGGTTGTTTCACCAAATTATGGAGAGGAATGTAAGGCCATCCATTCATCAGCTGAAACCGCCAAAAGTTGTCATACAGCAAGACGATGATTCTCAATATACAAGCAAATCTACAACAGCATACTTGAAGAAGACATTTTGCATTTTGGATTAGTGAAGTCACAGTCCAGACTTAAACCCCATTGAAATGCAATGGGAGAACCTGAGATAAGCTGTGTATGTAAGGCAACCACCAAAAGTCATCAACGTGAATCAGTTCTATAAAGTAAAATGAGCCAAAACCCCTAAAAGGTGATTTGTGAGACTGATACACATTTGCATCAAATATCTAAAACAGCTTGTCTTATGTGTTGAGTTTAATTAAGTTATCTTCATCTTTTATTATGACTTTCATGAAGATTGTGTTGGATCTAAAATACACAAGAATATACACTAACCTAGGGAGTTTGCAGTATTTTTCCCCACCCTGTACATTTCAAATCAATGAGGAACATGTAGAGACAAAAGTCTGTGCTGACAGTTACAAAAAAAGGAAATACTTGCTGGTTTTGGTGCCTTCTTCAGGTGTGTAGGGAAATGAGGGACACAGCAGGAATATGAGGCAATGTGAAGTAAGGTTGACAAATTAAAAAAAAAACAAGAGAAGTGAAAGACAGCTAAATAGATGTGGATGCATTTTACAACTTCCTGGGGATGCATGGACAGGAGGGGTAAAAACTCTTTTCTTCTATCTCTAGTTCCCTGAAATGACTTATTTTTCCTTCGACAATGTAAATAGTAGGGCACTTTCTGTAGAAAGAGATGCAATAATTGTGTTTCCTGGACAAACACGTTGCCCTTTGGATGATCTTGAAATGACTAGACAGGTATTGTCAATTTGAGTATGCTGGATATAATAATAATAATAATAATAATAATAATAATGTATATATACCAGTATATACATTTGCAGGTAATACATCTGTTTATTTTTACATAACACTAATAATACCTTAAACTTATATAGCACTTTTCTGGACACTCCACTCCAAGTGCTTTCATGTAATGGGGACTCCCCTCCACCACCACCAATGAGCAGCATCCACTTTAATCATGAGACAGCAGCCACACTGCGCCAGTACATTCACCTCACACCAGCTGTCAGTGGGGAGGAGAACAGAGTGATGAAGCCAATTCATAGATGGGGATTATTAGGAGGCCTTGATTTGTAAAGGTCAATGGGAAATTTGGCCATAACACCGAGGTAACACTCCTAACCTTTTCAAGAAAAATCTTGGGATCTTTAATGACCATAGAGGATCAGGACCTCAGTTTTATGTCTCATCTGAAGGAGGGTGCCCTTTTACAGTATAGTGTCTCTGTCACTATACTGGCATTGGGACCCACACAGACTACAGGGTGAACACCCCCTACTGTCCCAACTAACAACACTTCCAACCTTAGTTTTTCATCTGAAGGTCCTCATCTATGTATTGGCCAGGATCACACCTGCTTAGCTCCAGTGGGTTGCCAGTAGTGAGTTGCAGGGTTATATGGGTGCAATAGTCACTGAAATAAATTTAAAAATTCTGGCATGGATGGAATCTGTAAGTGGTTAAGAGCACAGTGAACAATAATACTATGTATATCAGGTTGTGGCGTTCTAACGCAGCTCTACACTCTAAACTTCGATTCTACCCTGCATTTATTAAAATTGAAATACACATTCTTGTGTGATCGCATATGTGATATCTCCCTCTTTTACCATTATCACAACAAATATTGTGTTTTTCTTTGACCCCTATATGACAGTGCATGACATGTATTTGTTTTACTTTTATTCCTAGTCATCTTATCCAGGACATGATAGCAAGTGAGGAAGAGTTTGTGCGGGACATGGACTTCTTTGTGTCTCACCATGTGCAGCATGTCAGCACCAGCCCCGATGTGCCTTCTGTTGTCACCACCAAAAAGGATGCCATCTTTAGGAACATTGATGACATTAGCACTTTCCACAACAGGTAAAGGGGTTCAACACTGATGGCCATAAGCACAGTTTGTTACTCCTTAGAAGCAGCATATTGGTTATATTTTTACTGATCATTGTTCTTTTCATGTATCAATATTGTCCTTTCTTTTTTTTCCTCTGTTTTCTTCTTCTATAGCTTTCTAATGACCTTTTATTGATACTACTAATAAGTGATTACTGGCAACAGTGGATACTAAAAAGTAAATCTTACTAATACTGGATATTTCAATAATGAATTCTCCCTACGCAGCACCTTGTTCCCCGGCCTGAGTGAATGTGACACTGATGATGATGTGGCCGTGCGCTTCATAAAAAATAGTGAAGGCTTTGAGAAATACATCCACTACCTGGTGGGGAAGGCCCAGGGTGAGGCTGCATTGAGCAACAAAGCTGTCCATGACTACTTCAAGGTAAGGATTACACTGTCCCTCAGCATGAGGCCTCCTTTGAGAGGGGGTATTATTTTCACAGAGACCTCCTAGAGAAAATCTTTGTAGTACCAAAACGTTATATATAAAGGAGCAAATCAAAGTGACTCTTATTTACCCCCTGTTGTGTATTTTTCCTTTTGACACAGAGATACACAGAGGCAGAGCTGGCCCTTGAAGACCCTTCTCAAGTCCCAGTCCCACCTGTCCATGCCTATCTGGAGAAACCCCTGGAAAGGATCCAAAAGTACAAGACTGTGCTCAAGGTGCGGGGTTTTAGTAATATCTCAGAAAGTGCAGCTTGCATTATGCTCTTGAGATCTCCAGGTCTGTGTACTGATTTGAACTAGAAATGGTCAGAAGTGTTGAAGCTGATACACTGAAAGACACTGGATGAGATTCTTGAAACCTTCTGTACTAACAACATAAGAAGCTAGACAGGCTAAATGGCTTCTTCTCACTTGTAATTTTATGTTTATTAGAAAAGATTGTTACCATCTTATTATCATTTTATAAGCTTATTGTTTTAATTGAACTTGAACTTAAACTTTATTGCCATAAGTAACCGGTACATGTACTGGTACAGTGGAATTCTTACTTACAGAAAGTCTCTCGATTGTAAAACAAGTGTAAAACTGTGATCTTTAAAGATCAACAATGATTTTGAATTCAAATGACCCCTTTAAAAGATGAAAAGTGTGTTTACCTCCTGAAATATGAATATGAACTTCTTACACTTTCAGGTATCAATAGTTGTCTTTCAGCTTTTTTTTCCAGTGTCATAAGATGTCAAATTGTAACAATGCAGTCTTGATATTGCAATTGCTGAATGAATGAATTGCTGGGTGTCCACAGGAAATGATTCGAAACAAAGCAAGAAATGGTCAGAACTGCTGCCTCCTGGAGGAGGCCTTTGCGATAGTTTCGTCTCTCCCACGCCGCTCTGAGAACACACACCATGTAACACTTATCGAGAACTATCCTGCGACCCTGGAGGCTCTCGGGGAGCCTATCAGACAGGTGACACTCCTCAAACCGTCTGCCATAGGGACAGCAGTTACTGAATTACAGCTGGAAGTTACTCCACACGTTGTTTTTTTGTTGGCGTCAGTAAATTACACAAATATTTGACAAAATTTTTTTTTTGCTTACAGTGGATGACGTTAGTATCTGAAGTGTTAAGAATAAACAAAAAATAAGACAATTTAACAGCATCATTGAAAAACAATTGAATATCAGTGGCACTGAAGCATAAATACATTATTAAAAGCTTTGCCATGTTCAGTATTGTAATTGTATTATCGAAAGAATGTTGTGAATATCTCATGGCTTCTTAAGTACGTTGACACCATCTTGTGTTCTGATGTGGCAGGGGCCATTCAGTGTGTGGGAGGGGGCCCCAGGAGCTAGAGCGTCTTTCCGGGGACACCACCGGCATGTCTTCCTCTTCAAAAACTACATCCTGATTTGCAAACCCAAGAGAGACAGCAACACTGACACACAGACTTACATCTTCAAGAACATGATGAAGGTAATTATGAGGAGGACACCATGGAGCTCATGCTAGAGATTTGAACTGTCTTGAAAATAAATACTAAGTAGCTCTTCACAATGCTGAAGGGGGCAAAACTGTCTAAAGAGACTCTTCATTCCATCTTTATTTACCTCCCTCAGCATTGTGAAATGCTAATCGCTAATAAATATTCATGTTCTGTCTGCAACTGCATAAGCCTGATCCTCGTTGACAAGGTTTGTGTGTTGACTGTGATGGCGCTGTCCCTCAGCTGACGAACATTGACGTGAATGACATAGTGGAAGGGGATGACCGCTCATTCGAGATCTGGCATGAACGGGAGGACTCAGTGAGGAAGTACACCTTGCAGGCCAGGACTGTCATCATCAAGAACTCTTGGCTGAAGGATCTCTGTGACCTGCAGCAACGCTACAGTCTGCCAGCCTGGAGTGAGTGCCTTCAACACCCTCTCAAGCCCACTCTTATCACATAGCCCAGAAGGCATAGCCACACTCTATGGGAGGAACATTCTCTATGCTCTATTGTTTTAATCTTGGAAGTATCTTTAAAATCTGATTTATAAGCATGTGATGTTTTAAAGTTAGAGTTTCCATTGATAACGTTGTGTGCGTATCTGTGCTCTAAGGTGAATACTCAAGGTGCAAGCCATTTCAAACTACAATACACTGTTGAAGAGTAAAAATAGGTCAAAGGATATTCAATGGAGAGTGATGAAATATATTGTTAATTATGAATGTCTTGTAGTGTTCTTTCAAGGGCATATTTCTAAATTGATTTTCTTTAAGATAGTGTTTTCTTTTCATCATCATAGTAGACACTGGTGATTTTAGCAAGACATAATACAGGGGATTTCTACACTGTATATATTCATGACCATAGTAAAAATTGTCTTGTGATTCATGGCTGGGCAGAACTAAAGACAGGATTAGAACTACTTAATGCTTTAAGGAAATCCAATGTTACTGCAGAGAAGGGTCAATGTATAGCCATGTGTACATGATTTACCTTATAGGAAGTAACGTTTATGTCAAGTATGGTTTACTGTATAATAATATCTGTCTTGTATGTCTGGGTGAAGGTTCCCCTGATTTTGAGGAGGTTCTCGCTGACTGCACGGCTGAGCTTGGGGAGACAGTCAAACTGGCCTGCAAGGTCACAGGAACACCCAAACCCGTGGTTACGTGGTACAAGGGTAAGAGGAGTGGAGGATTTAGCCAGAAATCACACATTCTGCTGATTTGTGCTTGTTACACGGATATATTCATCAACACCTCAAAAAAAACATCTAACTGTTGCTGATGGGAAAATTGTATCACAATAGCTAATGATTTAAGTGTGTAGACTGGAAAACAATATTAGTTGTGGAAGTAGTTAATTTTGCTTTTGTTAATAAGATGTTGTATGTTTTTAATTAAGAAACTGAATGAGGCTTTTTAGCAACAATTATCTGGTATGCAAGAATCATATTTTGTTTTGTAATTGAGAAGAAGTCCCGTAAAAGGCTCCAAAAAGAAAATCCCATCCTCTCCACCCAAGATTGGTAAATTATTACGCCTGCCTAACCCTCTTTGTTAGCATTCCCCTCATTTTTTCTTTAACAGTCTTTTATATGATTTTTGTTTTACTATTACATACAAATTGAGCACTCTTAACAGCCTTTGAAGATAAGTGATGGGGCAGGCTAGTTGTGTTTTTAAGAAAGGCAGTGAAACTGGTTTGCTGACAGTGTGGAGTGGGGGATGATCCCATGTGTCCCCCATATAACAGATGGCCGGCCAGTTGATGTGGACCCTCACCACATCATCATCGAGGACCCTGACGGCTCCTGCACCCTCATCCTGGACAACATGACTGCGGAGGACTCAGGACAGTACATGTGCTTTGCTGCCAGCAGTGCAGGCAATGCTAGCACACTGGGCAAGGTCCTAGTACAGGGTACGTCTTGGTACCAAGTGTGACTACTCTTGGTAACATCCAGTTTATACCCTGGTATTGTCCTGGTACCTTTGATTATTGCCCACCTGTTAAATGTCAGTTTCAATTTGTACCAGAATTAATAAAAATAATAATGCCAACTGGAAACCCCAGCTCGTGTTGCAAAAGAATTGCCCCTAATTTGATCAATGAAGGCTAAATAGCCCATCAATCAAGTCTTTATTTTGTTGTATTTCTAACTCAATGTGAAGTACTTTACTGCAATCCAGACTTCCTTGCTCCAAACCTGCAGACACCTATGAGAAGATGAAATGGAGGAAGAACCAGGATATTCTGGACACAAAATTACTCACAATATGATTTGTAATGTTCCTTTTGCCCTCTGCAGTGCCTCCCCGTTTCGTGAACAAGTTGAGGAATGCTGTGCTTGTCCAAGGAGAGGATTGCCAGTTCACTTGTACCATACAGGGTGCCCCCAGCCCACAGATCAGGTACATATGCTACCATTACTCTCTCAGCTCAAAGGTCCTTTCACTGATGTCAAATATTTCTGACACTTTGCTCTTCCAAAACACAGCCATTTTTTTAAAATGCTTATAAACACTCCCAGCTTATAAACAGGCTATTTTGAAGAATACCCTATTTCATCCCAAGAACAACACCCAGAGCGGGCCATAAGTCATGTTTTTATAAAAAAAAATCTCAGTAATGACATTAGGCTATTACAGTACATTACCAAAGGTATTTCTAAATGTTTCAATAATGGAATTTAAAAATGAAGTATGAAATAGACTGAAATAATGTGATAATAACCACCAACTGCTGTAGACAAGAAATCTCAAGCATAATGAGAACCATACCCTTCACTCCAACCCTAGGGTTTTATTTTGCAGAAGGCGGCAAGTTCCATCTAAAATAAATAATAAATGTATATCTAAAATAAATAAAAATATGGCTCATTATCCATTTCTGAACTTTAATTTTCCAATCCCTGTATTACAGAGTGACCATGTTTTCTCATGTTCCCATAAGAGTAAAAAGATTAATAATAATTACAATCCCAGAGATGATAATGCTTTGCAGAGTAAGTCCTCTACAGTGACAGTGTCTCTGTGTCACCCTCCTGACAGGTGGACTAAGGATGGCATTCTGCTGACAGACCAGGAGAAGTACCAGACATTCAGTGAGCCACGTAGTGGAGTTGTGGTACTGGTCATCAAGACCCCAGGGGAGAGTGACCTGGGACGATACCAGTGTGAGGTACTGACATCTCTTAGATCCATTATTAGCCATAAATAGTGACTTCAAAGGAGCTTTTCTCTTTATGGGGTTTATTTTTCTTTCAACTTAACAGCTTTTCTCCCAATAGTTAAACCCATTGATCTTGTGTTTCAGCTGAAGAACAGGCTGGGCACTGCGACCTGCGCAGCCGAGCTGTGTCTGCAGTCTGCTGCACTGATGGCCAGCGAGAGGAGGGGGGAGCAGGCCATCTGTATTGAAGGTAGGAGACACTGCTTTCACAGCCTTGTCCTTCTACAGGAGGAGGCTGGAGAGCCTCTGTTTTATTTTACTTTCCACCCGGGTCTTAATAATAATAGATTTTATTTATAAAGTGCCTTTCCAAAACCCAGAGACACAAAAGAGTATGATAAAAGTAAAAGAAAAAAATAAACAAGAGCATACAGGTTTATACAGATAGAATGTAGTGCTGTGAAACAATGGCCCTAATAAAAAGGCAAGTTTGCAGTGTGGATTTAAAGAGAGTCAAAGAATTTGTCTCTCATAAGTTCTGAGGAAGGTCATTCCACAGCACTGGAGCAGCAGCAGAAAAAGTACGGTCTCCAAAAGTCCAAGATTTAGTCCTGGATACAGTGAGCAAAGGACCAGTCTTAGCTGAATGGAGCCTATGGGTGGGATTGTAAACATGGAGAAGCTCAGAGGTGTATGATGGAGTCAGATTATTTTAAACCATGAAAGTCAGTAACAAGATCTTATAGTATATCTTATACTGTAGAGACTTAAGTGTAGGAGTGATATACTGCCAAGGTCTGATGTGAATTAGTAGTCTATCTGCAGAGTTTTGAAAATATTGCAACTTGTTGAGAGATGTGTTAGGTAGCCAATAGAGTAAAGAGCTGCAGAAATTGAGCCTTGATGTTATAAATGCATTAATCAAGCACTCTGTGTCAGATAGTGATAGCAATTGCCTAATGTTGGCAATATTTCTTAGGTGAAAAGAAGAAGTCTTACTCAGTTTTTTCACATGGGCTAAGCTAGTTTACTGTGACTGTCAGTCTTTGTTTTCATTGTAACATAATGCCTTATATAATGAAAATGAATATCAAGGTCCTATTTTCAACTTGAACCTGCTTGAAAAATTAGAAGACTATGATTCACTCTAATGCAAAGGATTTTGAAATGGCTTGACAACCTATGGTTGTACTAGAGTAGTGCATTAATATATAGAGATTATGCTCTTCTGCAATTTCTGAGCAGTGTTACTTTTTTATCAGTTATTTTATAAGATCATAATAAACTGACATTATCTAGTTTATAGTCTAGTTCACCTGCAATATAAAAATTGTGATTGCTTGTTTTTTTGTGGAAGACTACCAATGAGTGAGCCAAAGATATGATTCAGGGAAGACACACTATCAGTGATAAAAATTGTTTGGATGAAACAAATAATCTTTGAGCCATTCTGATGTAGGTCAGGATAAAGCTTCACTCACAAGGATCTTTCTTTTGGCAGTATACAGGGAAAACTGACTGTGGAGAGATGCATAGACATTTAATGCTGGTATTCTCTATGGGCTTGAAATGTAATAATTTAAATAGTTTTTACTTAATTGTTATAGCTGAAGCTAGACAATACATGATACACACACTGCTTTTGTTTTGACATTTGTCTACATTTTGGGGAGTTCCTCTCAGTTGGACAGTGACAGCTTTATATTATTACATTTTCCTTAATGAATTAATCTTCAGAGGTAACCTAAGAGACCGGCTGGCCA